ATTCCAACTGAATCTTCCATAAATTTGAAAAAATACCAAAAAAGAATAATTTGAGGTTTTCGAAGCAATATTTTATGTGTTTGTAGGTCTGTAACTTTATGCGTAAGCATCATATTAGTCTGTGAATATTTGCAACACTACTGACATGACTTGTCATATTGTGGCATATTTTTTGTTTGTTATTAAATCACATAACCACACACAATTACTCTCTACCGAGAGGGTTAAATGATTATTATGGCGCAAATCCTCAAATTGCCACATTTTCATAGTTATATACTAGTTCTAGATAAAACATTTAGGTATGCGCATTATTGTATTAGAACTGCTGTTAATTTATCATATAAAATTTTCGACAACATAGCGGAAGAGGATCGTCCACCTTTGTTAATCTTACACGATTTATTAAGTAATAAGAGGCAGTGGGACAGTTTAGGAAAGACTATACATACTGTGACAAAGAGAATTGTGGTTACTGTAGACCAGAGAAATCATGGTCACAGTCCTCATGCCGGTTCACATAAATACGAAGAAATGGCTGCTGATATCCAACAGCTACTTACGAAATTATCAATAGAAAACGCTTTTTTACTAGGACACGGAATTGGTGGAAGGACTTCATTGTTTACAGCATTAGTGGCGGTAAATTAATATAAGATTCTCTCTTTCATCGTTACAATTACACCTGTAGTGTATGCAATGTATCGAAAGTGGATGCTGTTGTGCATAAATATACAGATGCGTTAGCACCTCTGACAACTAATGCCGGCCATACAAGAACACTATTCTACAATATCCCAGTACATTTGATAATCCAATATCCGATGATGCACACATCACACCGCGGTCCAATCCATTTTACGTCCACATTTTCAGAGAATATTCTACCTTGTTTGTTTATTGGCAGTGCGTATGCATAGCTTAATTAGTATAAGTATATACAGGAAGTGTAGTCGTCGGAGTTTGAAGACGGTTCTATTTTATGACGAACGTTATGACTTTTGCTCCTTGTGTTAAGGATTTCATATTAGAGGCAATAGAAAAACATAAAAAAATAGTCCACGCCACGACACGTCTTTCTTTCTTCAGGTTAGGTCTTCGCGTTTTTTTTTTTCGCGTTTTGCGTTTCGGTTGCTTATTTTCTTTATGGCAAATCACAGCGTAGCTGCCGCAAGTAACAGTTCTACTTTTGAATCATCTAGGACTTGTATGGTAGGACATAATCGACTAACATTTTGTTGCAATTCACGACGCGTGGCTTGGTGAAAATCGTGCTCCTGTATGTAAGGTTGAAGTTGAATTCCATCCTATAATTTAATAGCTTCTAATTTTAACTTGTCAAAGCATCGAATTTACCCACTTTTTGCCCACACTTAGAGGTGGTCTATCCTATTAATTAAAAATAATAATTAAAATACGCAATAAATATGCAAATAAAAGATACAGTCGCATTAAGAACGTCCTCCTTTATTGCAGTCGGCTTAAAAGTGTCGATTTAGCTTGGCACTTTTTAGAATGTATCTATCTATGTATTGCAAAGACTATCTTCAGTTAATAGGGTCGAGGTCTCAATGTCATTGAGCCTAAGGTGAAGAAGCTGCAAGGAAGCTGGGCTCCATTACATAAGTACAAAAAATACGTGGCGTGATAGCTTTTAAATTTCTATGAAGCGCAGGTCTGCTCGGCTGTGGAGTGCTACTATCAAATAGTGCTGTTAAATACCAACAAACAGCTTTTATGTTACTGGCGCTACGTGCCAACAGGCTTGGCTTGGCTTGGCTTTAATTGGCATTAATTTTGGTCAAGCTTTCATATCGAGCACATGTGGCTGACACGTCTTGTGGTCAAACCGTGGTTGTTCTACAGGATACATTTTAGTGTGCGCATGAGCTATTATTGCTGCGGCACGAATGAGTCGGCTGATAAGGGAGGAAAGTAACGCTTTCAAAGAAGCGCCCAGAATCGGAAACCTTTTTACAGGTGACGATACATTCCATCGTAGACCCAGGCATGACGTCACACGCATCTGCATTTTGATTCTTAATCAATGATAAATGTACGTATGTAGGTCAAAATGCACAGCAGCATTCACTCGCCATCAAGTTGTTATGTGCTTATGTGTCCCCTTACATTTATAAAAAAATCTCATTCTTTCATCGTCCAACTTGCTTCATTATGGATATACAGAACATTATAACGACGATTTTTCGTTGTCATTTCTAATACTTAAAATAGCAAAAGTATGAAATAATTTGCCAGCATCAGTCTTTCCACCCATAAAAATTGTAAGTATCTTCAAGAAAAGAGTAAATAGACTTTACTAAACTTGTGAGATTTATCGTCTACGACTAAATCTCCGCTAACCATCTGGTAGCTTCGTAGTCAGGGACTAGCCTATATTTAAGTTAAAAAATACGCCGATAATTATAACAATCACAATTTTCAGCCACAGCTTATAGCTGGTCTAGTAGTGATTGACGCATCACCAATATCTACTTCCACACAATTTAAAGATTTCTATTCTAAAATAATGACATCAATGAAGGAAATGTCATTTAAAGGCGAAAAGAAGTTGAAGGCGGCAAAAAGAAAAGCCAAGACACAATTGGAGCATGTCATTAGTGATGATGTCACGATGAATATTGTACTCTCCAATTTAACTTTAAAATCTGACCATACCATAGGGTGGGCTTGCAATTTAGACGTTTTATTAAAATATTTCGAAAATATGACGTTATTTCCGAGCAAGTTAAAAGGGAAGAAGTACTTTGGGCCTACGTTATTTGTCGGCGGTCAGTTATCCGAATATTTACCGTAAGTGTCAATGTATTTTAATAAGTATTTTGCAAAACAAGCAAAATCAATATAACATATAATACATATACTTAATATATTATAAAACACATTCGTAACAGAAATAATGAGATGGACAGCATAACAGACATTATGAAAGATTGTTTAATAATTACCTAATTAAAAGATAAAGTTTTAAACATTCTTGCGCCTCGTATGTATGTGCCTAAGCATAACTTTTTGCTAAGTATTTCCCTGCCAACGGTAGATGCAATAAAATCGATTCTTACACTAGGAAACTGTTAAAGTCGGTACGGAGATATTTTTTAGACTAAACAAAACAAGAATATTAATATTTGTTTACTTTGGTTTAAATAAACTAAACTTGACATAATCTAGTCAAAAATTGATCCAGAGAAAAGCCCGCGTTACTATTATAAGCAATTCTGCTTTTTATCTTTTATAATAGTCTAAGTGTGTAGGTATATGTTTAGATAGCGATTATCTAAACATATACCTACATATATATTTTTATTTATTTTGACTGTCTTACGTAATGATCGACAGTACACACAGAACTGTTTATCCAATTCAACAACAATAAGCAATGTTGAGCGACGTCCTTGGCGACGTCAATGAGGTAAATTGTTTATAACCGTAAAGTACTGTGATTGTCAATGCGCCTGCCAAGCGTGACGATGCCATCTTCCCGTTTGTAGAACAGGGATACGCGACACTTTTAACGACAATAACTTACGATCATAGTGATGATGGTTTATTGATTTTTTTTTGAAAACATTTATTTACATAATATTGAAATGTTATTCAATATTAAAAATAAAACCTATTATTAGAATTGAACCTTAGTAAAATTAAATAATTTGATTTCAGACCAGACGATCTTCCTGCAATTCGCGAACTGTGTCCAAGAGCTGTCATAACTTACGTGTCAAAAACTGGCCATAATTTGCCTTTCGATGATCCTAAAAGTTTTCTTGAATTAATAATCCCCTTTCTTAAATGAAATTCTGTTTAGTAAGTACCAATAACAACAATAATGAAGATCAAAATGAAAATGGAACAAAGCATCTTGATCATCTCCTACAGTACGATGATTAAACTCAATATGAGAATTAAAATACCAATGTAATGTTTTTTTTATAAAAGTAAAACACAAAATTAGTGTACGGTTCACATTTAATGGCATTATGAGGCTTTAACCTTTATTTACGTGGTTTGTTTTTTTTACGTGGTAGAGCCATGCTGCAGTTATATTATGGTTATACCACGAATGTGTCGGCTCGACCGGGGAGGGCCACGCTCTCACAGAATACCAGCGTAAAATAGTAACTTGATGTTGCCGTATTTCGTATGGTGAGTGTAGAGAACCGGAGACCCTTTTTACTGGAAACGAGGCACTCCATCTTAGTCCTCAGGGATGACAACGTATCTGCATTTTGATTCTTAATCGAGGATAAATGTAGATAGATGTCTATGGGCCACAGCATCTATTTACTATCAGGTAGACTGTGTGCTCGTTTGTCACCCTTATTCTATAAAAAAATATACGAGTACATACGTGGTTAAGAGAACTTTATTTGTATTATATTAACCAAGTACGAATTTATTACCTAAATTCGGTTACTAAATAGAACTTTAATATTGATATCACAACCACAACCTAATCAAGTGATCAATTAATAGAGTTTATTCATCGATCACTAATAAAAAACTAGATACACAGTCAGTGACAAAAAATGTCCTTACCGAATGAGCGCCCATTCGAACATTTGGGTGCGCTTTTAATTTGTACGTAGCTTTGTGAATACAACTTTAGGCAATGCGTTTAAGGTTGAATTTATATTAATGTATATTTATTTCAACTAGAATTACATCAAAACAATTGTCAACAGTTTTTAGAGAACTTTTGCATGGGATTGTGTATCAAGTTTTTTTTTATTAGTGACCGATGGGTTTATTGACCTATAAAACCTTTTACGTGATTTGAGTATTTTTATAATAGTAAATTCGACGTGATAGATTGAAAACATGCCCTGTGCAGTCAAACCATCAAACTGTCATACTGTGCGTTTGTCAGAATATTATCAATAACTTATTTATTTTTGGCAACATTTTTGTAGCATTTAATAGACTAGTCTATTAAAAACAAGTTATGAAAATAAAATGAACTATATCTTTGAAATGGAATGGGTGCTTTGCAATATATTATACTTACTCAGAAATCAATTTTGAAGTACAAAGTTGCACGTCAGAATACAAGATCATCTGTAAACTTAGCTTATAAAATCCACGGACAGCCGAATCCTCATCAGACGCCTGTAATAATTCTTCACGGTTTACTTGGATCAAAAAGAAACTGGGAAAGTATGTCTAAGAAAATAGCTCATGCAACGCATAAGGTAGTCTTTGCCGTAGACGCGAGGAATCATGGTGAAAGTCAACACCATAGCAGCCATTCTTATCATGAACTAGCTACTGATGTAAAACAATTTATGGATAATTTAAATATTAAACAAGCAGATATCATTGGACACAGTATGGGTGGAAGAACAGGCATGGTTTTAGCGCTCACGGAAGTAAAAATCTAGATAATCTATAAAATATAAGCATTTTTTTAATTGTTGATATATTAATTCTAAGGTGTTCTTTTTATTACTTTAGTTTTCTTTATAATATTAAAATGACAAACGAACTAACATTCCACCTGACGGACAGCACTGTGTCTGCCCACGGATACGTGTAACCAACTTCAGACTAATTAGTCCACAGATGCGTTATTCTTTTTCTTTTCTACCGACTTCAAAAGGATGTGTTACCTCATAACGTTTTACTGGGTGAACCGATTTCGATTCGATTCTTTTTTTTATTTGAAATCTGGTGCTTCACATGTGGTCCCATATAAATTTGATCAAGGTCAGACCAATAGTTTATGACTTATTCGTAATAATTTATATTGAAGTCGGTTGTACAAAATTTTTAATTATTTATGTATTGAGTAGTACGATGAAATATCTCACAGCCTGAATAAAGACTCTCACCACCTAAGGTGAAAGCGCCAGGGTAACCCGCGAAATTTAAATTTTCTTAAGTTTTTGCAATTTGTAGGTCTATGTCAGGTTGTATGTTTAATAAAATATGATTCGCGACCGTAACGAGTACGTATTTACAGAATTATAATCATAATAATCATCAATACAACTACTATACGTTCGTATAATCCCATTGTATGGCTATTTCGATAAAAACTCACTCAAAAGTATTATATGAACTTGAGGGTTTTATTGGTGATTTTAATGATAATAATTTTGTAAACACATACTCTAAAAGCTTTTACAAAAAACTTTTTTTTTTACTTCGCAAATATCCGCGTTATAAAATAAAATGATGTGTCTTACCTAGTATTAAGAAGCACCTCCCGTACTTCGCAAATATCCGCGTTATAAAATAAAATGATGTGTCTTACCTAGTATGAAGAAGCACCTAAAAATTTTTGTAAAAGCTTTTATATAATGGATTTCCGCAAAGTAACGCCTGATTCTATTAATTATAAACACATACTCGTTACGGCCGCGAATCATATTTTGTTAAACATTCAACCAGGCCCTGACCTGCAAATTCCAAAAAACTTAAGAAAATTTGAATCCCGCGGGCCACCCTGGAGCTTTCACCTTAAAGCGGTATATACACAGCAGTGAGTACAATGCTAGTTGGTGGCGGAAATAGCTTAGAAAGAGGTAGGTCCAGTAGCGAATTTCGACAGAGGAGCAAACCTACCACCTTATAAAGTTACTGGCTATTATATACACGAAATATATGATACTGCCTCAAATGCAATTACCGTTATCGTTACAGCTTGTCAAAGTCCACTGCTGAACGTAAGCCTCCCAAAGATTGCCTCATAGAGGGGATATATGCTATAGTTGCCACGCTATAGTTGGCAATCGCAACTATTTATTTTTGTACGTGGTAGAGCCATGCTGCAGCTATATTTCGGGTATAGTTGTGGCAAGAATGGGTTGGCTCGACCGGGGAGGGACCGCGCTCTCACAGAATACCAGCGTGAAGTAGCAGCTTAATGCTGCTGTGTTTTCTCCGGTTCTCTACACTTCTACCACTATTTACTGGAAGGGAGGCATTCCGTCTTGGTCCTCACAGGTGACAACGCATCCGCATTTTGATTTGCGGGCGGGGATAGATGTAGATGTCTATGGGTCACAGCAACCACTTACCATCAGGTGGACTGTGTGCTCGTTTGTCACCCTATCCTATAAAAAAATTATTAATTAGTTGTTATTAGGAAAACGCTGCTGCTCTTACGGCACCTAGAGCCATGCTGCGGCTATATTAGTGGTATAGTTGTAGCACAAATGGGGTCGGCTCGACCGGGGATGAACCACGCTCTCACAGAATACCAGCGTAAAATAGTAGCTTAACATTACTGTGTTTCGTATGGTGAGTGTAGAGAACCGGAGACCCTTTTTACTGGAAAAGAGGCATTCCATCTTAGTCCTCACTCAACGCATCTGCATTTTGATTCTTTATTGAGGATAGATGTAGATGTCTATAGGTCACAGCAACCACTTACCATCAGTTGGACTGTGTGCTCGTTTGTCACCCTATCGTATAAAAATCCTACAGGATGACATGGAGCAGTGGATATTCTTATATCGCCACTACACGGTAAAGCTATTGGATTAATAAAATAATAATTAGCGTAAATAAAGCTCCAAACGCATATCAACAAAATTGTAATAATATTTTTTGTTAAAGGTGAACTTTACTTGATACTTAATTGTATAATATTTATGTTTCAGCCTACCAACGTATCAAGTTTAATTGTTGTTGATATTTCACCTGTATCGACAGCTCGAGCTCTTAACGAATTTATGCCTCGGTTATTGGATACAATGAAATCTATAAACTTTCAGGGTATCAATGATTTAAATAAAGCAAAACTTCTTGTTAAAGAAAAACTATTACAATCTAAAGTTATTGATTTAAATAGCATGGGTTTTATATTGATGAATTTGGGATTAAAGCCAGATCAATCAATAGGATGGATTTGCAATGTTGACACACTAAGTAAATACTTTATGGATATTGCTACATTTCCTGACTTATCGGGTATGGTGTATAAGGGGCCGACATTGTTCGTCGGTGGACAGGAATCCCACTATATCCAGTAAGTTATACTAGTTTACAGTTTATAATTATTCTGTACGACACTGCGTTGAAATTTGTTATCGGTTATTAAAAAAAAATCTGTTGTTTCTTACAAAAGTGCAATACCTATGGCAGTCAAAATGTATGGAACATATATTTTTGTAATAACCGACGAAATATTTCAACTCAGTGGGGTCCAGAGTCATGTACGGAATACGTGGTTTCAATTAATGCCATAACGTCATCACTCCGTAGATAAAAATAAGAAGGGTAAATATATAATAAGGGGTATCACTTTCCAAATATTACTTTTAAATTATTTATAATATATTCAGATATTATCAGAAAACTTTCCTATTGTAAGAATACGCTAATCCGACCCTAAAATATATCTCAAAAAATATATCTTCACATCTTATTGAAGTTTAATATTTTTAAAATATGTTGTGAAAATCAATTAGTTTAAGATCCATTAAAAAAAAAAGAATATAGCACTTTCTCCAATACAACTACCCTAAAAAAACTCACCACTGTCGAAAATACGACATATCATGTTCATCTAGGTGAATAGACTGCGATGACTGGTGTTGGGCTTAGTGATGTCAGTATAGTACGAGTAGCATAGTAGTGATTAGACGAAAACAGCAAAAGCGACTAGCGACTTTTTTTGTTTTTTTTTTAACGAGCACACAGTCCACCTGATGGTAAGTGGTTGCTGCGGCCCATAGACATCTACATCTACCCTCTATTACAAATCAAAATGCAGATGCGTTGTCACCCGTGAGGACTAATATGTAATGCCTCATTTCCAGTAAAAAGGGTCAACCGGTTATCTACACTCACCATACGGAACACAGCAGCGTTGAGCTGCTATTTTACGCTGGTATTCTGCGAGAGCATGGTCCTTACCCGGTCGAGCCGGCCCATCATGCTACAACTATACTACTAATATAGCTGCAGCAAGGCTCTACCACTTACGGAACTAGACGAAGATATAAATGAGCTTACTCCTTTATAAAAGGCCGGCAACGCACCTGAAATTCCCCTGTTGTTTGAGTCGTTCATGGGTGGCGGTCGACACTAGCTGTCAAGGTCGACAATTGCTCGTTTGCACCCTTTACTAGAAAAAAAAACAATAATATAATTGACAAATTTTTAAAGTCGGTTAAATGCATAATTTTAATATTTTCCTAAATGAGTTTGCTTTAAAAACTGTAGAAAAACACTTTAACATTTCATTTGATAGTTAGTTTTGATTTACATTAAAATACTTATTAACATTTTAGGCCCTCGGACATCAATCAAATTAAGAAATATTTTCCAAACGCTGAACTTAAATACGTTGAGGATGCTGGGCATAACGTTCATGCTGAAAATCCTGTAGCCTTTTTACAACTTGTAACTCCATTCTTAACACAAAAGTAATAAAAAACTTTGAAAAATTTAAATTTCTCAAAAGTATTTGTATTTATTTCAACTGTCACAAAGTGTATGTATAATTATACATAATGAGAAGTATGCAGCTATAGATTTTCAAGACATCCCAGATGTACATAAACTTTCAGTACGTCAGTCGAGTCGAGGATGGACCTGTGAAACACTTTATGGATAAATTACATATTAAACTAAACGAACATTATTTGGTTGTTATGTTTTCCTTTTTGTAATCTAACCTATTCTATACTTAGAATAAAAATGTAAATTGCAGATGTCTATACATTTTATATTTTTATGACAAAAATTATTCAGAGAGACTAAAAATAAGTAATTGAATACATTTCTATCATATTTAGAATTGTCTGTCCGTCTATTTGTCTGTTTGTTAATGAACGTATCACGTCTATAGTACTTAATATTTTTGTAAAGAATCGTTAAGAAAATCATAGTGATACACTTTCGGGTAACATTTAGTCGTAGTTTTATTACAATGGGTTCATTCTATCAAAAATTATGATTATTATATTGAAATGTAGGTACGAATTTGTTCAATTGTGGCGTTGAGTCATCAAGTGCATTTTAATCTAATCTCAGTAATTGTAATTAAATTGTGTAAAATAATGTAAAGTACATTATTTATATACCTACTTAAACCTAAAACACATTATACGAAAAAGAATATGTTTTCTTACAAACATTAACGTAATATAATAAGTGAGGACTTTATTTTAACTTAAAAACTACAGCCTTATTTGCTTTGACGGCTTTGTGATACAATAGCTCTTCATCAGTCATTCAAATAAGAAACGGTCAAAACGGCGCCGCTTTATCTATTTTGACAGTTGATATTATAGAATATATTTTAGTTGATTTTAGTATTGATAGTGTAGTTAGTATTTTTTAAGTTGATTTTTCGAAGTGTTTCCAATTATTGCCAAGGCTTGTTTGCTATTTTTTTTTAAATATATTAGTTATAGTATACAGCATTGTGTATTTGTCTCTGTCCTCCTCCTAGTTTTGGTTTTATAGGGCGGCAAAGGTTAAGGTGACCATATTACCCTCACGTACCTTAATACCATTTTATTTAGAAAAAGTACAATTGTTAACCAGTGTCGTCGATTGATGGTGCTGTACAAAAGTATTTTTTTATATTATACTAAGGCAACGCTTAGCTACAATCCCACCTGATGGTAAGTGGTGATTTAGCCTAAGATGGTGAAGTGACTAAACAAAAGCCTATTCACTCTTGCCTTGAAAACACCCACATTGTAATCGGATGGAAAGACAGATGCTGGCAACTTACTCCTCTCCTTTGATGTACGCATAACGAACGATGTAGCAAACCGTTTGGTTCGAATGCGTAGTAAGTCAACAACGAAAGGGTAGACACTGGCCGAACGTCTGGTTGTCCGATGGTGGAAGGGAGAGGGAGAAATTAAATTATGCAATTCCTGCGCACACTCCGAAATGCATCTTCTAGAAAACCGAAAGGCTGACTACTTTGCGCCTGTGTTTAAGGCTGGTAAGATTGATTTTAACCACATAACCATAACATTGAGTCCAAAGCTGCTAGGTGGTATTTTGCAGCACCAGTCCATATATGACAGCAATACTCCATGCACGAGCGGACTTGGGCTTTATATAAATAATATAAGTTTAATATAAGTTTCTTTTCCCATTCTCGTGTAAGAGGGGTCCAGTTAAAATTATTTGAAGACTACTTGCGAATTCGCAACCAACAAGTGAAGATTAGAAGTGAAGTAGTAGTAAGAAGAAGTATTTGTGAAGCGAAGAAGCTGAAATTCTTTTCGGTGTTCGTCAGAGGAGTGTACTGGGTCCCATCCTGTTTCTCATTTACATATATGCTCTCACCAAGATTAACTTAGAAAAAGGTATTTTATAAGTTATATATTATATATTTTATAGGGTATTTTTCTACGCTGACGACACTGCATTAGTCTTCACGGGTACAACTTGGGAATCAGTTTTCAAGAGCGCAGAACTTGGACTTAGACTCACTCTTAATGTATCTAACACAAAATACATATGTTTTACAATCAACAATAGAACGCAACCTGCTAGCAACATTGCCCTTAGAATTCATCGGTATAGTTATAAAGACACAGTCAACTGTTCATGTGCGATACTTGATGGAGGCTAATCTATTAAGTACCTAGGTGTTGTTTTGGACCAGCGACTAAGTTGGCATTCTCACACGGATATTTAAAAAAATTAGACATGTAACAACTAAAAAATTAATAATATAAATTTACATCACTATGGCACAATCTATAATAGGCTACTATCTGCATATCTGGCACAATCAGCATACCCGTTTGGGGAGGTGCAACAAAAATAAAATTTTTGGAAATTGAAAGAAATCAGCGCAGCCTCCTTAAAGAGATGTACTATAAACTCTACATTCTTCAACAGATTTGACAGCATACAGGCAACTGAACAGACAGATCTCCAAATGCATGCAGCGGGACTTACGCAACTTCAATACAGCTTCTATTGAAAAACCGATCGAGCGGAATCAAGGCTCCAAAGTCTTTGCCAGAGATCTGTCTGCCAGAAAGAGCCAACTGTCAAAGGTGAAGACCGAGTGTGGCAGCATCGTTTCCGGGACACCTGAGATTTTGAGTGAGATTGAGAGGTTCTATGGGCAGCTGTACACGTCATCGTTGAAGCCACACGCAAGTGTGAGTAACGATCCAAGAGTGAGTCTTATCTGACACTATTCCGAAGATATCCCGGACGTCAGTCTGAGCGAGATTAGAATGGCTCTCCAGCACCTTAAAAACGGCAAGTTTTTAAGGTGCTGGAGTCCCCGGGCGAGGATGGAATTACAGCGGAGCTTTTGAAAGCGGGTGGAAAACCGGTACTTGAAGTCCTTCAGAAGCTCTTTAATTCCGTCCTCCATGGTGGCACTACTCCGGAGGCGTGGAGCAGAAGTGCGGTAGTCTTGTTCTTCAAGAAAGGCGACAACGCTCTCTTGTAGAACTACAGACCGATTTCTCTTCTGAGACGCGTCTACGTGCTGTTTTCGAGAGTCATTACGAATCATCTCGCACGCAGACTTGAGGACTTCCAGCCCCCCGAACAAGCCGGTTTCCGAAAAGGCTTTAGTACCATGGACCACATACATACCCTGCGGCAGATTGTACAGAAGACAGAGGAGTATAATCTCCCACTTTGCCTTGCGTATGTGGACGATGAGAAAGCCTTTGATTCCGTCGAAATTTGGGCGGTGCTGCAGTCCCTTCAGCGGTGCCAAGTTGACTGTCGGTATATCGAAGTGCTGAAGTGTTTGTACAGTAGAGCTACGATGGCTATCCGAGTACAGAATCAGAGTACGAAACCTATGCAACTGTAAAGAGGTGTAAGACAGGGTGACGTTATATCCCCGAAACTCTTCACCGCTGCATTGGAAGACGTTTTCAAGCTACTGGACTAGAAAGGATACGGTATTAACATCAATGGCGAGTACATCACTCACCTTCGATTTGCCGACGATATAGTCCTTTTGGCAGAATCGCTGGAGGACCTAAGCACTATGCTCAATGACCTCAATAGTGTCTCTCAACGGATAGGTCTTAAGATGAACATGGACAAAACAAAGATCATGTTTAATGTCCATGTCCTACCTATGCCGGTAGTTGTTGGGAGCACTAAGCTCGAAGTCGTTGACGAGTATGTTTACCTGAGGCAAATAGTCGGACTAGTAACTCCAACTTCGACCGACAGGTCAATCGACGGATTCAACGCGGCTGGGCAGCGTTCGGGAAACTACAACACATCTTCTCGTTAGATATACCTCAAAACCTTAAAACGAAATTGTACAACCAGTGGGTGTTGCCAGTGATGACTTACGGATCTCAGACGTGGTCCTTCACTGCTGGTTGTATGAAAAAGCTCAAGGTCACTCAGCGAGCTATGGAGAGGGCTATGCTCGGGGTATCTCTGCGTGATAAACTTAGAAATGAGGATATTCGCAGTAGAACCAGAGTAACTGACATAGCCCAACGGATTAGTAAGGCAGTGGGCCGGCCATATAGCTCGAAGAACCGACAACCGATGGGGAAGAAAGGTTCTCGAGAGGCAGCCTCGCACCGATAGGTGAAGTGTAGGGTGACCGCCCCACTAGATGGAGTGACAACCTGGTGAGACATGCAGGAAGTCGATGGATGCAGGTGGCTCAGGACCGTGCTTTGTGGCATTCCTTGGGCGAGGCCTATGTTCAGCAGTGGACTTGTGAAGGGCAGTAATGATGATGATGATGATGATGATGATGATGATGATGATGATGTATAAAATCCCACCGATGTATAAAATCCCATTTACCGATAAACTTTAAAAAAACTCCCCAATAATCAGATCGGAAAGTTGTATTTTCGAGCTATGATTTTTGGGGAAAAATATTTACTGCCGTGGGCAGTTTCCTCGGAATTTCTTTTTAACATATTGTTAATATAAATAGGTAGATACTTAACTAAGTATATACTGATTTATAGTTTATATATTTTATAAATTGTTATGATGGGGAAATAAAAACGGGGACACGGAGTACATAACGGCTGCTTTATTTTTCATGTAAGTATTACTTGTGATAATTATAAACATTTAATAATTAATAATTAAATTAATTATAGAACTTTATTTTAACATTCGACTTAAGTATAAATGTAAACTTAATAATTTAAGGAAGGAAACTTGTAGGAATCACTTGAATAAGATTGCTCTGCTTAAAGGCCAATATGTTTGAGGCTTCATCATGCTTCATTTTTATATTCTTTCATTTGTCCATGAAAATTATAAAGTAATAATAAACTTATTATCATTTTAGCTGCATGAATGTAAAAAACATAATTATCGTAACACAGTAAAGTGGAATAAGTATCTGAGGATACAGATGCACTCTATTCTCTCAATCTCGGTATGTTAAGAAAATGGTCACTCATTCATGGACTGACCGCAGCAAGTGCAAC